AAGCAGGTACGGGCTGAGGCCGGCCCCCGAAAGGGGAGCCGAAATGCGGCATCGCAGTACCCAACGGGGCTACCATCGCTCCAGATCGCCGGCACGATCACCAGCGCCGAGAAGAAGCCAGAGCTGGCAGGTCGAAACCTCCAAAGCAATGTCGCAGATCTTGCGACACACGGGGCGAGTACGCGAGGACGGTTATATCCCAGTGACAGAGCTACTGCGGCACCCACGTCTCCGGCAGGCGGGCGCTACCCTGACGGACATTCAGGAGGCGGTGCACGCCAATGACAAGCAGCGTTTCCAATTGTCATGGCAAGGGCGCGGGCATGGTCGCGAGCTCCTTATCAGGGCTACCCAGGGCCACTCACAGCAGCAAGTTCAGGACGACCTTCTGCTCACCCGTATTACGGCCCCACATGAGGTGCCGCTGGCTGTTCACGGAACCTACTTTCGACATTACTCCGCGATTTATCACCAAGGCCTGAAAGCGGGAGGAGACCGAGGGCAGCGGGCCAGGAAACATGTCCATTTCGCCATGGCCCTACCCAGAGATCAACACAGGGCCACTTCTGGAATGAGGAAAGATGTCGAAATCCTTCTTTATCTTGACATTCCACGGGCTCTCCGGGACAACATGCGCCTGTATGTCAGCACCAACTCGGTGGTGCTGACGGAAGGCTTCAATGGATGTATTCCCATCGACTACATCATGAAAGTGCAATATATGCACCGGCAATGTGCCAATGACGTCCCAGGCGATTCCATTCCATCACCCGGCCGCCTGAAGGCGGCCTTTGCAGCGATTGGTGTCTCACCTCAGGAAGGAAGCCGCGGCCGCTCGCTTCGACCCCTGCAAGGTCATGCCCTCTTTAATCAGACCACCTGTGATCCTTTCTGACTTTGTTCATGCTCAGGTCCTTTCTCACCCGACTCGCTGTCATCAAGCTCCCACCTCGGCTGCACGACCCCAGTGGTTTGTGCCTTCACCCTCTCTTTTTGAGGGACCGCTCTCACCCCATCCGCGGTATTGGCAGGCTCGGCCTCTACTTGGGCGCCGCCGCCGCTCCGGACAAAGATCTCGCGACAGGTTTTCCTCTCGGTCCTTCCTTAGCAAGTTCGTGCTTGATTGCTTCCAGTGCCTAAGCTCTCAGCCGACAGGGTTCGCTGACTTCCTGCAGCATTTCTCCATCATGTATAGGCCTGCAGGAGGGCCTAGACAGCACTACAGACCCGATGGCACCAGACGCCGAACAGCCGGCGAACTCGCCAAAAGAGCAGCACGAGCTGCTGCCAAGGCCCAGGGCACGGACGGAGCTCAACCGTCCCAGTCAGCTACCCCTGCGATGCCGAAAGGGCAGCAGTTGACTGTGGGACAAGGCATGGCTCCACCGCCAAAGCAGGTGCCAGTCGACGGCCCCACCACGGGTGCCGGAGATGCCTTCACGAACTCAGGAATGGGATCTACGACAGCTACGCCGGCAGCCAACTCCGCTGTCACTGGATCGCGCCCCAAGGAGTCGCAGAATGCTGGTTCCTGGACACCGGTGCTACCAAAGGCCAGACTACCTCCTCCACCACCTGTTCCTTTGTCCAAGAAGGCGAGTGGGAAGGGCCTGGGACGAGGACCTCCGCCTGCACCGAAGCAATTGGAGTGGGTTCCTAAACGTACCAAAGCTCCCCCACCGGGCATTGACACAACCCTGGGAGGGGCACAAGCGGCACCAGCGGAACCAGTGAGGCCAGCGACGGCGACCGAAGTCAGACCGGGGAGCCGACCTTGACAACCACATCATTGACCCTGCGAATGGATGCTGGTCAACCGCAGAAAAAACGTCGCAGCAAAACAGTGCCGCCGCCAAACACTGCACCTGCCCTTGATGCGCTGCGGCTCAAATGGGACTTACTGCTGCGGGTTCACGAGGCAGCGGCTGAACTTCAAGACGCAGATGTACCTCACCTTCTCCACTTATACCAGGCGGCCGGCGGGTATACAGCAAGACACCATGACTTTCATCTCATGAGAGACAAGCTCATGCAAGAGGGTGTCGTCGGCCCCTCAGGGGTGCCGCTACCTTTGCCTCCAGTGGGTAATTACATCCTAAGTCTCGGAGTGAGCATCCTCGGCTTAGAGAGCAGTGGTTACCTACCCCAGATCAGCAGCTCGAGCACGTGCGGGGACCTGATTGAAGCCTGGTCACTGGCTCTCTGGGAAAGCTCCCGTCGTGATCTGCTCGAACAACTTGGGGAACTTTTTACGCTGTTGCACAGTCTGGTCAGCAACATACCCCGCCGGGTTTACGATTCCCTCCCATGGAGAATCTCGCTCGAACAGCTGACCATGGTGTTCCACATGTGGCTCGGGTCTCCGGTTGCTCCTGCCCTCACTGATCAAGAAGCTGCTGCTCCAGGCCCACTTACTCTCCAAGACCGTCTTTTCCGGGCTCGTTCCCTTTCGCCGCGAAGCGGCCCCTTTTCGGAGAGCCGATCCCCTGCGATGGAGGAGGCATATATGCTTTCCAGTGTTCCTGCAAGTGCTGAGCCAGGTCCACCCCTACAGTTGTTGCCTGCCCAAGTACTAGCCATCATCTGTAGCCAGCAACTCCTTTCTGTCGTATGCTGAGCCGGTGGATTCTCGTTGCTGTGATGGTACCTTTGCATCCCCTTACTCCTTTCTCAGGTCCAAGCACTACGTCCTGGGACAGCAGTCGCCTTCTCGGTTGCCGGCGCAACCCCAAGGCCCGAGTAGCTTCAGCAAAGGTTCGTGTCGTTACACGCATGCTCATATGTCTCTGTTTTTGCCTGACTCTAGGCTTAGCCAAAGGCGACCCTGGTTCGACTGCCCCCACTACCCCTCCCCCCCCAGCGGCGGATCAACAAACCAGCTCTGCTCCTCAACACGAGGGCCAACCTATCCGTCCTGCACCTGTTCATGCAGGACGCCACTATCTGAGTCCCCGCGCTATCATTCGTAAACGTGCTCTACGCCGTGCCATAGGGCGTGCGACTCGGACTCCTACCCACACCACCACGTATCGAGGTAGGGTGTGTGCTCTCAATACGTTGCAGGGTGCCACAGCTCGTTCCACCACTCGGCCCGCTGGGCGGAGCCGCCCTCAGGTTACTGACCACCGCAAGGGCCCCAGGTTGCGAGCCATGACTTGGAACGTAGGAGGGCTCTCGCAGGACGCCTGCATGGTTGGAAGTCCAGATCTGGTTACATAACCAAGAAGACTATGACCTTGTCTTTCTGCAGGAATCGCACTGGCGATTCACCAACTCCTGGTGCCTGCCTCGGTTTCATGTCTTTCATAGTGGTACCTCAGACCATCGCTTTCAAGGGTGCATGATCTTGGTGCGCAAGTCTCTAGCTCCCTTCGAAGACATCCGATGGTCCACGCCACTTCAGGGCCACCTTCTGCATCTCCGACTCCCCATCAAGGGGCGAGACGTTGACCTAATCAATGTGTACCAATATGCTTTTCACACCGGCCCTGACCAGGCAGCCGTTCTACACAAGAGAGAAAGAGTTCTGCACCACCTGGAGAAAACCCTCTCCTCGCTGCCTATTCGTAATGTCTTGCTGATGGGGGGAGACTTTAATACTACCGGTACTAGGGACACCCGTGTGTATGGTCCTGGCACCCTAATTAGTCACCACCCCCACGCTGACAGACACCTTCTCGTCAATCTGGCCTCCACACACAAACTCACGGCCCTCAACACGTGGTGCCGAGGCTCCCAATCCTTTACGTATGAGCACGATAATGCTAAGAGCCACATTGACTTTTTCTTTGCACGCGAAGCCCAGGTCGATGGCCTTGCCAGGCAGGCCAAACCTGACCATGCTTTTCACCTGTTGCGTTGGAGAGGGGGAGCCCGGCACCACCCAGTCTCGGTTTCTTTACCCGCGATACACTATCAAACTGCGCCACCTGCCGCCGAAGTGCACCGACACAAGGCTGCCCGGTACGACTCTGAACAACCCAGCTCGTGCATTCAAACCTTTCGCGACAGCCTCGCAGAGTCCCTACCAGCCCAACCTACCCCTGAACAGCTCGACGAAGCCTTGCAGTATGCAGCTCGTAAACTGCTCCCTGCTAGCCGCGGCCCTCCAACCCCGAGTGTTGCCGACAAGGTTCAAGGCACGGTGAAAGACATGTGGACCAGTCGCCAAGTTGCCCTGCGCTATGCGGTTGATACACTACGTCCCCTGACGGTTCCGGCCCAGATTCGACACTGGCGACAAACCGGAAATCGACTGTGGCTTAGCCTTGCAAATCTGTTCACCGCCTGGAAGCACCAGGCCCAATACTTGCACCTTCATCGTCAATTACGCAAACGTGGTCGCAAGGCAAACGCGCCTTGACGAGCAACTTCAGCAGGCTTGGCAAGCAGACAGGCAAGGGGATAAGTCCGCAATTTGGCAGGTTATTCGACGCCTAGCACCGAAAACCGCTAGGGTTCGTATTCAACTTCGAGGCGCCAAAGGTGAGCTGTTGACCAAGCGAGAAGAGGCAAAAAGATTTACTCAGTACTGTGAACAGGTCTACCACCTGCCCCGTGATCTCTCATCTGAGGAGTCCTCTCTCCTTGATCAACCATGTGCCGCTACTCCCACCCCTGCTCTGTCACCCGATACTCACAAGTATGCCCAGCCATCTCCGGCCCCCCTGGTGGATGGCCGGCCCCAACAGGCGCTAACCAGTCATCCTCTCAGTGAGGCCGAGCTTCTGTTGGCGATAAATACTCTCCCTGCCCGAAAGGCCACACCACAGCACCTTGCGCAACTTCTATTATGGCACCTTGGCAAGGAGGCGGTAGTACCACACCTTGCTACCCTTTGTGAGAACCTATGGGAGAAGCCTGGGATGTTCTACCAACTATGGGCTGATGCATGGGTAGCGTGGCTTCCTAAGCCAGGCAAACCGCCGGACCAGCCTGAGAATCTACGACCTATAGCATTGACGGAGGGAGGGGGTCGCATCGTTGTCAAAGCCTTAACCATGCGCCTTCGGCCCATCTTTGCCGAAGCCACTAAACTGTGGCCCCAGTACGCTTACACAACTGGCAGAAGCATCGACCATGCGATCATACGTGCCTTGCATCACTGCTCCCAGGTCCAACAAATCCTGGCGTCGCAACGTCTTACACTACGAGAACGTCGTCACACTGGCCGGAAGCCCACCTCTTGTCAAGGGGGAGTAACGCTCTCTATTGATACGAGCAAAGCGTTTGACACTGTCAACAGACAGGTTCTCGAGCAAGAGCTGCGGGCGGCCCGTGTACCGGAGCCGGAGCTGGCAGTTATCCTCAATCTCCACCACTGCATTGGCTACTGGCCTGCAGGCCAGGACCCCACAACTCGCGTGGCGAGTGAAAGGGGTGTGCGGCAGGGATGCCCCCTAGCACCGAGCTTATGGACTCTCATCACCATCGCACTGTTTCGTGCGCTGGCAGGTGTTACCTCCGTCACATGGCTGCAAGAGGACACCACGATGTTCGCGGACGATCTACTACTCCAGTGGATCGTCCACCGAGTTCAGGCTTTGGAGAATATGGTGGACCTCATAGCCCACACCTTTCGGATCCTCGCTCAGCTTGGCCTTCAGGTTCAGCATCGGAAAACACAACTCATTGTGGCATATAAAGGCAGGCAGGCCACACAATGGTGGCGCGCCCACACGGCCACCACTGCGGAGGGCCGCTTCCTGCTTATACCCCAACCTGGCAGCAAGGCACTCCGCCTGCCCATTGTGACTAAGCTGACGTACCTAGGCATTATCCTCTCCTATGTAGATGCCACCACTGCCACTGTTGACCACCGTCTGCAGGTAGCCGAAGCGCAGCGTGCTCGCCTTCTCAAGGTCCTCCACTCCCGGACACTGCCCACGACTAAGAGAGTCCAGCTCTGGCAAGCTTGTGTTCGGAGCTCTGCTCTGTATGGTCTACACCTAGTCGACTTACAGCAAAGGCATGTAGTCCGGATCACAGTCACCTTGGTTAGGCATCTGAGAGCCATCGCACGCAGCTTTGCACACATGACTCAGGAATCTAGCAGAGCGCTGCTCGAGCGTCTGAACGTAGAGGACCCCTTACTTTCCTTGCTGCAAAGGGGCCAAAAACTTCTTGTCAAGACTCGTGAGTCTAGCGATCCCATGGTTGCCAGGCCTCGGATCATGCGCTGGTTGGCTCATATTACTGAATCCAAACTGGCGCTGACCTCGCACCTGGACCGGACCGTAGCGGAGCCCTTGGTTATTCACCCGTCACCTCAAGATGCCGACCTCCAGTCTGAGGCAATCGCAGCTGCTTCTCCCACGCTCCTGCCCGGCCCCCTGAAAGGGGTGCCGTACGGAACCCCTGTGGCTGGCAAGCACGGTCCTAGGAACACTTGTTTCTCCTGCCCAACCTGCGACCTCTGGTTTCCGGACCTGGCTACTCTCAAAAGACACCACAATCAGTTCCATGAAACCCCCCTACCCAACCCTCTCCTTCAGATAGACGCTGCAGAGGTGCGCAAGCACAGCATCGATGGGATGCCCGTTTGTATGCACTGTCGTAAAGACTTCACCACCTGGCATAACTTTAGGAGACATATCGCGCAAGGACACTGTACCCAACATCGACAACAGCTGGACCCCTCCTTAATGATGTCATCCGAGGATACAGTCTCTGCATCACGTAGCCACACTGACCCGGTTCGTGAGCCCTCTCATCCCTCTTCAGTTCCCACACCTACCACCGCTGACCCTCCCCAAGAGTCACTAGGAACCACAGTGCTTGAAGAGCAGATTCCTGCTACAGTGACCGAGGTGACTACGACAGCCACGGCCCCGACCCCGGGAGTGCTGTACACTGTTGCTGCTCCCACGGGCTCGCCGCTTGATGGCTTGCTGCCGGAAAAACCTGAGGACTGGCTACGATTCGCTCGACAGCCCAAAGCTCAGGAGCTTCTGCGGCAATTCTGCACTACGTGCGGACAGTGGCTCGTATCGGTCAAGAGCGTCAAGTTGCACTATCGCTCAGTGCATCAGGCTCTATATACGACGCACGGTGCGTCTGCGGCAGCAGATTGCCGGAAAATGGGGCATCTCCTTTCACCCTGCGTCTTTTGCGGCACTAAGGTTACACGAACCGACCAGCATGCTGCAACATGCCCGGTCCTTTGGCAAGCCCGCATCTGTTGTCTTGCTCAGAGTAACTTGGTTTCACCTGCCCCCGCTCTGATCGCCCCTCCCAATTGCGATGGCGACGGAGAGCTTGCAAATGGATCTCGACCAGGAAGAACAGAGTGTGTTTGGAGGGCTTCTAGGGAAAAGAGCCCTACAGACAGACTTGACAGAGAATCCAACCAAATATCAGCATCCAGGAGGCAAAGGCCCTCCGCCGAATCGGAGCAGCGGAACGCGCCAACAGCAGCAACCGTTGACGGGACGCGGCCGCCATGCGGCCCCCTTTCAGGGGAGCCGGGGCAGCGACGTCCCAGACAATCGCAATGGACCCTCCAAGATGCCTTCGGGAGATCATGCTCTGCTGCATCGAGTCGCAAAGGCCCTCATCGTCCAAGCAGACTATCTGTCACGCCTTCAGAGCGATCACACTGTCATCTTCACATTTCGAACAGGCAACGGCCCACAGCTGATGGTGCCGCTTCTCCAGGAGGTGGCGACAACTTGGCGCGAACAACGACAACAGAACAAGGTGACCCGCTCCTTGAAGCAAACTCTCATCCAATATCTTGCAGCCGAACTGGTGACCAGGATCAATGCCTTCGCAACCGACACCGAATCCCAGAAGAGGGCCCAGGAACTAGGATGGATCACGTCGGAGGGGGAGTTCAACTTCTTGGACTGGGACTTCGAGGACAAGAAGCTCGTCCCCCGGCAGGAGGTGACGCTTACTCACGATCAAATCCTCACCGATGCCAAGAGACTCAAAGCCCTGCTGAAGAATCCAGACCTAGTCTTGAAGTTCAGCGGAGGCCGCAACGCCAAGCCCGACTCGACATCCGAGACAGCGACATTTGTGTTGGAGCTGTCCATGCAGCAACCAGAAGCATCGGAGGCGATGGCGATCTTCCGGAAATGGTATGCCAACTCAGCGCTCCTGCTCCTCTCTCTCCGGCTCAAACCGGCCCGCCCAGAGCGGTCGCCGTTGATCAAGGAGATCCAGGAGGCCGTGGGATGGTAGATGGCAGGGAACTCAGATCTGTGTGCATTCCTGCGGCACTGCTCCATCTTGCACTGCACAACCCAGACAATCTTTGTTACTTAAATGCCACTACGTATCTGCTAGCCTACATTCAACACCTTGCAGGACCCTGTGCTCCAGTCCATGGCACCCAGTCTCTTGAGCGATCACTGCAAGATTTGTTGAGTGCTCCTGTCCCTACACCTGGAGAGCGGATCACCATCCCTGACCTTCCCGGGTGGCACTCTTCTCTCAGAGGCTGGACGAACCTGCATCGCCAGCAAGATTGTCTTGAGCTCATACATCACTTGTTTGACCAACACTGCCCAGCACACATGCGATGTCAGTGGGAGGCACGACCGATACCAGGTACTGTTGCGGCACGCAGACCCCTTATCAGTGGTCTATTCAACATTGACCTCCCTCTCCCTAAGAAAGCCTCCAGTGCCACCATCCAGGAATGCATTATCAGCTGGCACGAACAGAAGATTCCCCACGGCCTTCTCCATGCACCGCCCTACCTGCTCACTAGCCTTGCCCGATATGCCAACCCCACCAAGGGGAAAAACAAGACGCGTGTCCCCTGTAAGGCCATGCAGCGAATCAGTTTCCTTGTCTTTCGAGGTCCTGGACATGAGATCCAATGGGCCACCTACGAGCTGGTGGCGGGGATTTTACACCTGGGGCTCAGCAAGGCCACTATCGTGCATTTCTTGCGCATCCACGTGATGCCCAAAACTTTGCATCCCAGGTGTCTGCAACTTCACGGCCAGGAGATGTGGCACCTGCAAGTGCATCGGGGATTTCGGCCCCCTCGGGGAGACCGTCGGCCCCTTCGGGGAGCCTGACCTACACCTGGTGGTGTACAGAAGATGGTCAATCGCCCGAGCTGTGTCATCCAACATATGCTCGGATCCTGAGTGAGAATTGCTATATTCTCGGCTTTCGTCTCACTAAGCTTTGATCTGTATAGCCAGTGATGCCGGTGTTAGAGTTAGTATCGAACTGCGGACTGCAAGTCCATGTAGTCCGAGCGCGATTTCAGTTCCAGTCACAGCTCATCGAGCTGATATTGTCTAAGGCGATGTACATTACAGCTCTAGTTAGCCGCGCTGAATTCATTTCTGAATTCGGCGTGTCGCCTACGCCGCGCAAGGGACCAGGGGACGGTTCTGCGATCGCAAAGTCAAAAAGTCTGTCTGTCTCTCTTTCTCTCTCTCTCTGTCTCTCTCTCTCTCTCTCTCTCGCTCTCTCTCTCTCCGTCTCTCTCTCTCTCTCTGTCTCTCCCGCTCTGTCGACATAGATGATATAGCGAGCGTACTGTAGTTCAATAAATGCGAACGGACTGCGATGCCTTGTCAAGTTCTAAGGTGTCACTATAAGAGCTGTGAGCATGACCGTGTAAAGTGCAAGAGAAGGGGGCACGCTACGCGTCCCTCGACTCTAAGGGGGGCACGCTACGCGTCCCTCGTCTTTACCTTTCTATGTGACCGCCCACGCAACGTTTGGCTCAAGTCAATGCCCATAGCTAAGTGCTATAAGTGTCTTCTATCCTGAGCAATCAGAGCTATCCCGTTGCACAGACGAACCGCCGCCGGCAGTGAGTGCAAAAGGAACGGCCGCCGGTTCTGCCTGCATAGGATTGCACGTGTGGAAGTGTGAGAGAGACAGGGTCCAGTCTGTGGAGAGTGCAAGCCAGCCACACCTACATTCATTATAGCTCTGGTGGGGAGAGCAGCAACATAGTCGAGATCAATTCCCCACGCAGGTTATCAGCCGTACGCGGCTCTGCCTTTCTACAGCAACGACTACTTGATCTACTACGACCACAATGAACTCGGGATCAAGCCAAGATACGACAATGACTTTCGGTGCCGATGTGGCAGCGCCAGCCGTTGGTGAGTCAACAGCTGATGACACAGTGGTGCAATCCGTTGATAGCTCCACGGAAGATGACAAAGGTCAATCTTCTGCGCTTGCCATTGCAAAGGCAGTTCCCAAGGTGAAAGCAAAGAGTCTACCAAGAGCATCTACGCCTTCGCGTCCGACATCCACAGGTTCGAGGACGGGCAAGGCTCCAGAACGACGAGCCGAAGCGTCTGGTTTTCAGGCACCTCGGACTACGTCCAGGGCCAAGGACAAAGGAGTGAAGACCTTGGAAAAGAAGTCGAGACCATCATCTTCGAGAAGCTCTTCAGCACGATCGAGGACTTCGGCTACTCGTGGGCGTGACAAGTCCATGACTTGGAATCGGATGGTTACCAATCAACCACGCGATGCTGACGATCTGGATATGACTCTGGACACTATTCCAGCACGTGGTGATGCGTCATCGGTGACCACGCCAGCCATAGCCGATGGTCCGAATGCCTATCAGGAACTGACGATTTCGCAACAGCTCGAAGCATCGAACCTTGCGCAGCAGATGTACTATCGCAGTCAGATGCAAGAGTACGAAGGAGTTGTCCAGACCCTGATGGATAAGATCAAGGAGATGCAACAAGAAGATGAAGGATCTGGGATTCGCATTGAAGAATTGGAACGACAACGTGACCATGCATGCTTAGCCATGAGGCACATCAACAATGTCAATCAGGAGATGAAGCGAGACTATGAAACAGCTTTGTTTCGCATGGATGAACAGAACTCTGCTCAACAACGTCAAGCACATGCCGTTGCCGAGGAGTTAGCTCAACAGCTACACGTGTTCCGCACGGAGGCAGCCACTAACTTTGTGCAGTTGGAGGCAAGAGCGCAAGGCGATGGTGAGCTTATGGCACGTGAGTATGAGCGTCTGACTCATGAACTTCATGAACATGCCAGAGAGAACTTGTTCCTCCGGTCGAACACAGCAAGTTCGGAACAAGCCTTACAAGCAATGCAGGAACGATTCCACTTAGTCAAGAATCAGGAGTTGCGGGCCGTGAACGAGATCCAAGGGCTAGCTGGAAACAGCGCAGCCATTGATCAAGAACGACTTCGGCTTCGCGAACGTCTTGGTGAAGAGGAAGAGTACCGCAAAATGGCTGTGAGGAGGATGCAAGATGCAGAGGACCGACTTCATCAGAATGAAGATCATGCAAGGCGCGCATTGCCTACCTTGCACGACGAGCTGAGTGAACTCAGGAAAACACTCAAAGCACAAGAAGATCTTCAAGCGAGGACACGCAGCGAATTGGAGGCAGCGCGGAACTCCAACTATGGCGGAGCGACACGGCCTTCGAGCATGCCCATGTCTTCGAGGACTACTGAGTCTGGCTGGGAGCACGTAGGAAAGGAAGTAGTGCCTGCATTTTCCGTAGGAGGTGAGGTACGATCCCCTGAAATACGGTCCCCAAGTCAAGTTAGTCCAGTCGCCAAAGAGAAGTTCGCATTCTCGGAATCGGACAAGGACAAGAACCTTGTGATGGATGGAATTCCATTTACCGGTGGAAACTTCTTCACTGGCCGCAATTCAATGCCAATCGTGGCGGATGCAATGCCCGAGCACTACGTGCCAGGTATTAGCAGCCCAGCACTTGCGCGTTCCACGCCTAGTGCAGCCACTTTGTTGGCATACCAAGCGGATTTCATGGGAAAAGTGATGCGGCAGCCGTGCGTGATCGACAGCTACGCGAACTCTTGGAGGATCGCGGGATGTTGGGATCGAAGTCCACAGCATCTGCCAGCTCCTCAAGACCTGTTGGTGTCGACGGCATTCACCGCATCTACGAAGGGCAACGACCTCATTGGTCCCCCTGTTGCCTATGACGATTCCATCCATGAAGCAAGGAGACGTCAGATCGAGAAAGAGGTCGCGGAACGGTACGAAGAGAAGATTGCCGATCTGCGAAGCGAAGTACTCAAGGCTCAGAAAGCCGAACAGCGTCTCAGAGCTGATCGTGATGAGTGGAGATTATTCGCTGAAACGATTCAGGAAGATAATGGAGACGATGACGGTGACGAAGCTGGCGGCGAGAACGAAGAGGGAGAGCATGATGACGGAACCGGCACGGGGTATGACCCTCCAGACCCGCCTGATGATGACGATGATGATAAGAAGAGAAGCGGTGGAGGCAAACCTGAATCGGATCCTGGCTCTCATGCGCGTGATCCTGATGGAGACGCAGATCCTGAAGTCACGGAGGTGAGAATTTCCAGGAGGGAGGCCGACAAAGTGACCGTTCCTCCATGGCCTACTCTCACTCATCTCAACAACTGGCGATCCGTATGCACGGCGAATGTCTTAGGAGCATCAGCCGACCCAAATCATGAGGACTGGATGTTATGGCTGGCACCAGCGTTCAACCCATTCCCTGATGTCGAAGCACTGAACGATTCAGGACACAAGAAGTTCAAGAGCGTAGACGTCAAATTGGGGATCGCAATGGTCGCAATGCTACGCGCTGGTGGTGACAAATCTGCTGATCTGTACCTGGAGGTGAACCGGAAGGCCAACGATTACATCAGCAGGCCCGAAGGGAAGATCATCAAAGGACGACAAATCATTGCGATGATGTATGAAAGTTTTCGAACGCACGATCGTCTCGACATGATCATCACTCTCGAGTATCTGGTGAAGCTCCAGTACCAAGGCGACAACAAACTTCATACGTTCAAGCAGACGTGGTTGGAAGTTCTGGGACGGATGAGGCCAGAAGACATACCATCCAAAACAGCTCTCCGTGATTGCTTGTACAGCAAGATCAAGGACTCGCCCGCAATGAAGATGGAGTTGGGCATGCACTACGAACACTTGCCCTACAATCATGAAGACCGATCGTACGACAATCTGATGAAGATCATCGACCGTACCATCATGCGGAGACGAGAACAATCAAATCTCACTCAGACCCAAATTGGCTTGCGCCAGATGCTTGAGGGCAAGGATTTGCTTGCTGCACCGGCCAAGGTACCTGAGAAACCAACGCCTAACGCAGCTCCATCCGCAAAGGTCAAGGCTTCGCCGACCAAGCCGGATAAAGCAACACCTGTACTACCTCAAAGCAAAGCGAAGAGTC